AAACCTAATATAGAGTCATGGTAAATAATCTTTGCCTCCTTGGTATGTATATATTATTTATACAAATTTATATACTTTATCTAATCAGGATCCCTCTTTTACTTTCAATTTAAATTGTGTGTGTGTGTGTGTGTGTGTGTGTTTTAAGATTTATATTGGAGTTTTTAAAATGTTTATTTTTTTTTTGAGAGAGAGAGTGTGCAAGTAGGGAAGGGGCAGAGAGAGACAGGGGTGGGGGGACAGAGGATCCAAAGCAGGTTCTGCACCAACAGCAGCGAGCCTGACACAGGGCTGGAACCCACAAACTGCAAGATCATTACTTGAGCTAAAGTCGGATACTCAACCTAGTGAGCATCCAGTTGCCCCTAAATTGTATTTTTAAAAATCAAAACCTGTGTGATAACATCCAAGGCAGTCATAAGCAGAGATCCCCCACATAGTCATTTTCAGCTTTTCTCAGTGGCTCCTGCATTTATACCTCTTATACTGCTACTCTCACTTTTTCAGTTTTATTTATTTATTTATTTATTTATTTATTTATTTATACTTTTTCAGTTTTAGAAATCTCTACTTTTTCTCTATTTCCTTTCCCTTGTGTTTCTAATACATCACAATTTTTCTTTAACTTAATAATCAGTCATTGTATTTTATGAACATGTAAGGATTCTCCATATATTCTTTCTCATACAACCTTTTATCTTCTGTGGACTTAATAATTGTTTTCCCTTTCCTTTTTCATCTTTTTTTTTTTTTAATGTTTTATTGTTTTTTGAGAGAGACAGAGAGACAGTGTGAGCAGGGGAGGGTTAGAGAGAGAGGGAGACACAGAATCCGACGACAGGCTCCAGGCTCTGAGGTAGTAGTCAGCACAGAGCCTGATGCGGGGCTCGAATCCACAAACTATGAGATCATGACCTGAGCCAAAGTCGGACACTCAACTGACTGAGCCACCCAGGCACTCCTCCTTTTTCTTCTTCTGTATTTTTTTAGTAAGCTATATACCCAACGTGGGGCTCCAACTCAGACTCTGAGACCGAGAATCACATGCTCTACTGACTGAGGTAGCCAGGTGCCCCTCTTGCCTTGCCTTTCAGTTAGTCTTACAAAATGTAAAAAATTCTTAGTCCTTGCTCATCTTGAAAATGTTTTCTGCACTTAACCGATGATTTGCTTAGGCATAAAATTTTGATTTGGAAATCGTTTCATTCAGAATTTTGAATCTCCTTTTGCCCTATTTTACACTATTGCTTTTGTGAAATTTTCTGAAAGCATTTTGGATCTTTGAACTTTTTCTTTTTAATTTTTTTTAATGTTTTATTTATTTCTGAGAGAGAGAGACAGCGTGTGCAAGGGAGGGTCAAAGAGAGAGGGAGGCACAGAATTGGAAACAGGCTCCAGGCTCTGAGCTGGCTGTCAGCACAGAAACCTCGAACCCACAAACCCTGAGATCATGACCTGAGCTGAAGTTGAACGCTTAACTAACTGAGCCAACCAGGCTCCTGGAACTTCTTTTTTTTTTTTTTTTTTTTAAGTTGGATTAAATACTGTTTAAAACTGTCTACTTGCTGAATTTCCAATCACAAAATTTAGCATGAGAAAATGTTCAGAATCCAGAACAACTGTAAGACTCATAACACCATTGAGAAAAATGCCTTTCTTTAATGAAAAACTATTGTCTTTCATTGAACAAGGGAAGTTTAGTCAGACTCCATTTGTAGTAGGAGTTTTTCAAGTTCATTGTGCCTAAAGATCACTGGGTGATGCTTATTTTCCATGTAGATTCTTTGATCCCTCCCTGAGATCTTTGGATTCGGTAAATCTGACTAAGGATCACTTGGTGATACTTGTTAACCATGCAGATTTCTTGATCCCTCCCCAGGACATTTGGCTTCAATAAGTCTGGTGTGACACTAAGAAATTTTCACTTTCCTAAGCAGGGACCTTAGTGGTGCTGCACCATTCATTCTACAAGCTGCAGTGGTATGAAACCGAAAGTCTTCAGGCACTGGGGAAATGAATGCTAATTTAAACTTCTTTCATTTATACAAATAGGTAGTGTCTTTAAATAAAATAAATCTATAACCTGGGTGCACATTATACATGTGGTTTTTGAATCTGTGGGAGTATACTGAATATCCTGTTAAGCAGATAGGCTGATCAGAAGCTGCCATAAAACACAGGACTGCGTTGTGTCATAATTATTTATTCACATTTCTCTTTGTCCCAACACCCTGCCCAGTCTCTGAAGCAAATAGAGTAGGTTTTTAAAACTCTTTTCAGTGAAAAATTCTGTGTTACTATATATAGTTCTTGTAGAAAAGCAATATAAATAATTATATAGGCCTGGAGTGATCTTTGATTGTGTTAAGGTCCTTGATGTATTTTATATTTTTATCATCATGTTTGGGTATCTTTATTCTTTAAGAATGGAAGTATGGTGGAAGAGCACAATTAGGGTCATTGCTTCAGATTTAGCATAAATCAGTTGGATCATCTATATTCACAGTTTGATAATAGTTCCTTTAGTTTGGGGTTAGCTTAAAATTTATCTTTTTTTTTTTTTCTGAGCCAAGATTTGTTCAGCATAAAGGAAGCCAGCACTTTAAATCTCTTTTTAAACTACTTTTATCAACAACACTTGGCGTGGTAGTACATCTGTTAATTACATATTCGTATTTACTCCATAAAATAATCTGACTCAACCTCCTGCTTTGTTAGCTGTTAGTATATGTATTTGAATATTTTAAGTGTCAGATTTTCATTTTTCTTTCTTTTTTTTGTAAAAAAACTTTTAATGTTTATTTTTGAGAGAAAGAGACAGAGCATGAGCAGTGGAGAGTCAGAGAGACAAGAAGGCACAGAATCCAAAGTAGGCTCCAGGCTCTGAGCTGTTAGCGCAGAGCCCAATATGGGCCTCATACTCATGAACCATGAGATCATGGCCTGAGCCGAAGTTGGATGCTTAAACTGACTTGGGTGCCCCTCAGAGTTTCATTTTTAATTTGGAACAAAAATACATAGCTATGGTAAAGAAAATTTACAAATGAAAAATCATGTATTATTTTTTCATCTTTGCATAACAGCTACATTCCCCCAAATAATTTATATTTTAGAGTAGCTGGATATCCTCTTGATTTTGTAGTCATGCCCTATCTCTAAAAGAGTATATAACCAGAGTTTTCTTATCTCCTAATACAGATATGAAAATAGTGGTTTGGTGATTCAGTTTAAATCCTCTCATCATTTCAGACAGTATGGAGGAGACTCTTAAGTATGCCGTATTGTTTGTCCTTGAACTTCAAGTGACTATTAAAGAAAGTGGTATCTATATTCAGCTTTTGCTCCTCTGCACTTCAAAAAAAGTGATTTTAGAGAACTTTAAAAAACAAGATTTTATTTCTTCTAGGTAATTAAGTGTTAAATGTTAGAAATACTGCTTTGTCAGCTGTTACAGAGGCAAAAAAAAAAAATAGACGAAACCTATTTTTGGAAACCCACTCATGCACACTGCCTGTGTTCGGAGCATACACACAGGTCATAGAAGTTCTTCTGGTGACAGCTGTAGATGTTCAGACCTCAGCCGAGCAATTTCCCTGCTCCTAATTCTGTCCTTTCTAAGAGCACGTCAGGTAATTGTTGACTGTGAGTGTTGTTATAGGCTCTGAAGTAATAATGTTAATTTTTCTGCTTCAGTAATTTGCATGAATAAAATGTATTAGAAAAACCAAAAACCTTTATAACTCTCGCTAACCAAATTAGAGATATGACAGGATAATATGGAAATAATGCATATTCTCAGAAGTCTTTTGAAGTGATGTTAACTGTAGGTGATTACCAGAAAAAGCTGTTTTTATGAAGGGAAAACTTTTTTAACCTTAAGAAATATACATTTGCAAAATGTTTGGTAAACTAATTTTTGACCAATGTGTTAGTGTTTTACATTTTATTTTGCTTTTGGCAATCTTTTCCTTTGAATTATTTTTCACTCTGATATTCCAACAGCCTGCTATTTTAGCTTCCCATTCAATGTATATGTGACATATTAGTTTTTTGCTTGTTATTTTGTGATGAGCAAGAAGTGACTTTTATTCACAAAATCAAATAATATCATGACACTTAAAAAAAATATTTTGGGAGTCCTATCCAAATCTCTGTAACTTGAAATGTCTGTCAAAATTCTCCTGTCAAATTTGTAGCTCTACAGAAATTTTCAAGATAGGATAATTAAAAGTGTTTGTAATAAATGCCTCTACCTGTATAACCTTAATTTTTCTCAAGTCTGGCAAGCCTTTTCCTTTTTTTTTTCTTTCTTTCTTTCTTTCTTTTTTTTTTTTAATAGACACTCGTTTTCAAATTCACACCAAGGGCTATGATCAAAGGTAAATGCCATCAGACTTCAAGGTCTTTGAATCTGTAGATCTTTATTTTGCCCCTTACTTTATGGCAGTGCATTTAATTTTTAACTAGTCTTTAAAGCAAGGTCAGTAAAGGTAAGCTAGTTAATCTTGATGAATGTGTATTATTTTTACGTCCTCATATGCAGTTTCTACTTAAAAAAATCCGAAGATTATTTAGGTACTGGTTTGCATGGTGAAGTCTGTCTAACGACTCCCTGTATAAAATCACTTCATATTAACTCTTTAGAGATTCAGAAATTCACTTTTAATCTGAAGGTTTCATTGTACTCCTTTTTTTCCTCTGTAATAATTAGGAAATACCTCTGAAGTGTTTTATGTTATAAAATTTACTGCCTAACAACAGTTCCTTCCACAGGTTAGCCTCACAGTAAATGTCTACAAAAAGTCTTATTTTTTACGTTATTATACAATACCAGGATTGTAAAGCGAGTCTACGTATAAACATTTATGTATATTCCTATCTGCCATCTAGTTTCTTAACAGCAATTTTACATTCTGCATATTCCTGACTTTGTGTATGTCATCACTGTGAAGGTGAGGTGGCCTTTCTTACATTCATTCACTTTTTCCCTTTTTCAACAGGGGAAAATGCAGTGTTGCCCTTCTGAATGAGACAGAGTCAGTATTGTCATATCTTGATAAAGAGGTAATTCACAATTACAATTATTTTATGTTTTTTTTCCCCTCAATTTCACATGAATCCCATACCTTTGAATTTATTTCTTCTTGCAACAAATTATTGCAGCATTATATAGAAGTATAATGACCAGAGTACATTTAGGTCATTTGATTTTTCTGGTGAACTGAGAGACGAGTTGGCGAAAGCTCCCGTGCCTGTCTTCTGTAAGTGGACAATGAAAGGCTGTATAAGGTATGATGGTTTAGTTGGAAGCAGTAGAAATATTTTTGGCTTTATGAACTAAGTGACTTTAGTGTACAGGTCCTCCTCCCTGGTTTTTTTTGTTTGTTTTTTGTTGTTGTTGTTGTTGTTTTTTAAATAAAGAGTTTTTCTGTTCGGCTTTTTCCAGATGAGATCTTAGCACTGGTGGTTTGCTTTCTTTCCTGGTATCCCAGTAAACTTGGTTAACTACAAGTGTTTCTTTCTGTGAACTTCAACAAACATTTTAAACATTTTTTTATCAAGTTAATTGAGAGCATATACTTCATCGGAGGGAGGAAATTCCTGTAAAATGAATATTTCACGATGGGAAAATTTTTACTGTTGACATTTGAGGATTTAACCTTTATACTGTCACGTTGTTTTTGTTTTCCAAAATCTGTGTGTGTGTATGTGTTTAAAGAATCAAAGGGATATATTTTCTTCAAAATAAATTTTTTATTATACTTAAAAGTGTTGTCCCTCATCTCAAATGAAGAAAACATAACTATAAGAGATTGATGCAGACACGTGGAACTAGTGTACATTAGAACATTGAATAGGGCAAACTAAGAGGAGGTAAATGTTCAAGGCAGAAAAAAGGTTGATAGTCTTTATAACTTACTCTTGTGAAATTTAGAAAAGAAAGTAATAGTGTTTGTTGTCAGTCAACATATGGATAAAGAGAATGCTCAGATGTTAGCATTAGTTCACAGAAGCAGAAATAACAGAAGGAAACATGAGTATGTTTCAGTTTATTTTACTGCTGTATTTGGCTGTTAAGATGGTATAATTTTTTTTTTAAGTGCTATTTTTGCTGAACTCAGGAACCTGTGATCACAACCTGAGCTGAGATCAAAAGTTGATACTTAACTAACTGAGCCACCTGGGCACCCCTCAAAGGACAACTTTCTAATCACAATTTTTTATTTCTTGTAAAATTAGATTACGTTTACACTTTGAATAATTTCCCTATTTGACCCTTATAAACTTAAGGGATCTTAAGCAACCTGTGTGACCCTACATAATAGTTTCATTTTGTTTTACTGTAAAATATGGAAAAATCCCATTTTTTATAGAATACTGTCCTAACACATTTTACAGAATAAGAGCGACCAGAAGTATGCATACTTTGAAAGCCATGCTGCACCAGTGGCGGTAGTGTTAGTCACCTACTAACATTCTTTGTGGCTCCTGTCTTACAAAGCAAACAATTCTGATTACATATTGATCCCCCCCATTCAGCCTGTTGAGCAGGTTGGTTTGTATATTCTGCAGATTTTTTTCCTTTCCCTAGGTAGACTTTTTTTCTATGCGTAAATTGTCATATTGTTGTGTTTTATTGTTTAGTCTTTTCTTTTGACCGTGACCCATGAGGAAGATTTCTGAATGGATGGTATCACCTTGTCCTATTTTCTCCTTTCCCTTTATCACAGTCTGTAAGGAGAAATCTGGTAAAATCTGGTAGATTACCTCCTACTTGCAGCTTGCTTGGCGCAGTCTTGGTGAAGTGCTGCTGAGCAGGCCCTCCAGGATATAATGAAGAGTTGTCTAGTAGGTAACCCTCAGAATCGTAGCAGGAAGCAGGGACAACACCTTTGAAGACCTCCAGTAGTGAGCAGAATTTAGCAAAGGCCTGGTAGGCTGGTCACGTTATCCATTGGGCTCAGTAACTAGGGCCTTTCTGCATTTTAAAGGACTTTGGAAAGTTAGTGGGTATGCTGGTGGTGGTAGGTAGTTATGTTTATATACCTATTTATATATATATAAATATGAACGCTTCAGGATTTAAAGGAGAACTGCAGAATTGGAATTAATAGATGTTTAATGAATAATACAGTGTGACATTTTAATTAGTAAATTGTATGTAAGCTCAGCTATTCTAAACTTTAATGTGAAATGTGTAATCATTTGAGTATGTTGGTGAAATGTGGATGGATACTCCAGAGTAAGGGCACCTGGTGTCCATCTTGTTTGCTGTGGGCTTTAGAGAATTTAAATGATTGCTTGATTCAGGTGTCTTACCTTTGACTTAGAGCTTAGCTTTGCTAGCTTCAGAATCCTGTTTTAGAGCAGTTAAATGGTTTTCTTTTAGACTAAAACAAACACACAACAAAATTTCATAATCTACCTTTATTGTAAGGTTGGTTTTGCTTGATTTCATTTTATACTGTTTCATGTAGTAACATTAATAACATCGTTCTCTTCATCAAGATTTATGAATTTATTCACCAAAATGAAATTTTATTACGTTCTCTGAAGTTTTATGATTTTATTATCGTGACATGGCCTTATTGCTTTATAAGAAGTAGAAGGAATTGAGTTTACCTACATATTTTCTGTCATTTTTTTTTTTAGGATACCTTTTTCTACTCCTTGGTCTATGACCCTTCAGTGAAAACACTATTAGCTGACAAAGGTGAAATCAGAGTGGGACCTAGATATCAAGCAGACATTCCAGAAATGCTCTTAGAAGGTATGTTTTTCTTTGGGTTTCAAGTCCTATGAAAACAAATGTTTTGAAACTCAAATATTCTTTTCCTCATATGGGAGAAACATCTTTTGGGGTAAAGTTTAAAAGTTACAAGTTCTTCTACTTGTAGAAATACAACAAATACCAACAGAAAATAATTTGATCAATTGTTTGTTTTTTATTTTACATTTTTATGAGTTTTCTGACTGTGTTTTCCTTTTAAGTGCAACTTTAAGAACATTGGTATTGTTGAACTTGTGTCTTAATGTGATACGTACATGCCTGGAAATCCAGAATGCTCCTACGTCATCTAACTGAGGGGGCCTGGACTCTAGTGAACAGTTACATTTTGATGGGGATTCGGGCTAATCTGGGTAGTTTATGTATGGGAGAGATTCAGAGCTTTGCGTTTTCAAAACATCTTCCTAACAAGACAATTTTTCTTTCTCCTGTTAAAACTCTACACGCAAAACCTTTATTTTCTGATTTCAAAAGCAAACATTCTTAACGTTAAAAAATGAAACGCAGAAATGTGTGATGTAGGAAATGAACATCATCTGCTTTCCTTCATTCCAAAACCATATTTAGTCACTATGGTCGTTTCGGGTGTGTTTGTTTGGTTCTCACTGGCTTACCCTCCATCCAGGACAGGCCACAGGCAGTGCCGTGGTGCACGTGTTAATCTGCGACTGCTTTCCTCAGTTAACCATGTACCTGTAGTACTTTTCTCTATGAGCACAGCAACTTTTATTCTTTTCACTGACTATGCAGGTCTTAAATTTGCGTGATGTACTATAATTCCCTCTTCCAGCCCCCTATTGATATACTTTTAGGTGTTTACGTTTTTCTTTAAAAAAATTTTTTTTTATGTTTTATTTTTGAGAGAGAGATGGAGACAACGTGAGCAGGGGAGGGTCAGAGAGAGAGGGAGACACAGAATCCAAAGACAGACTACTGGCTCTGAGCTAGCTGTCAGCACAGAGCCCGACGAGGGGCTCAAACCCACGAACCGTGAGACCATGACCTGAGCCGAAGTCAGTGCTTAACCGATTGAGCCACCGAGGCGCCCAAAGTGTTTACGATTTTCGATGTTACAAATTAATGCTACTAGAAAAGCTATGCATGTATATTTTTTCAAGCATAACTTCTTGGAGGTGAAACGCATATACATTTTACGTATTGAAAATGCTCCTTTGCGCTTCAAAAAGGCTATTACTGTATTAGGAAAGAACCAGGTGGTTTTACCAACACTGTTTATGAAGGATTTTTTCACCCTCCATTTCTCGCCCACATTTTGATATATCATTGTCTTAGGGTTTTTTGCTATGTTTTAAAATTGAAATTATGCTTGCCCTAGTTATCTTTAGCCCTTAATTAAATATCTTGTGCTTTTTCTTTTTCTTCTTTTTTAACTGTAAAGTTTACTTATTTTGAGAGAGAGAGCATACATGAGAGCAGGGAGGGAGCAGAAAGAGGAGAGAGAGAATCCCAAGCAGACTCAGTGCTGTCACCACAGAGTCTGCAGGGTTTGATCATACGGCTGTGAGATCATGACCTGAACTGAAATCAAGAGTCTCATGCCCAACTGGCTGAACCACCCAGGCACCCTCTTATTTTGAGAGAGAGAGAGAGAGAGAACGAGAACATGCATGCTAGGGAGGGGCAGAGGGAGAGGGAGAGAGAAAATGTTAAATAGGCTCCAAGTTCAGTACAGAACACAGTGTGGTGCTCGATCCCACAACTGTGAGATCAGAACCCAAGCTGAAATCGAGAGTCAGACACCTAATGGACTGAGCCACCCAGGGTTCCCATCCTGTGCTTTTTCTACTTGGTTATTTACCTTTTTATTGGCAAGAATTACTTGACTACTAAAGGTAAACAAACACAAAAGTATTTACCTTGTTTACAAGGATTATAAACCTTTTCCCCACATATTTATTTGATTAAAAACTTTTTAATAGTGATTTTAAATTTTAAATATATTTTACTTTATTTTTTATCATACAAAAGTTTGGAATTTATTAGTCATTTCCTTTAAAGTCTTTTACGATTTGTGTTATTCACAAAAAGGCCTCCACTTTTTGTTTTTGCCCTCTGATTATTAAAACATATCAGTACTTCCAGGGAGGGGTTCCTGGCTGGCTCAGTCAGAGGAGCTTGTGACTCTTGATCTTGGGGTCGTGAGTTCAAGCCCCGTGTTGGGTGTAGAGATTACTAAAATAAACTTCTTTTAAATGGTTTTTTTTTTTTTTTTTGAGAGAGAGAGAGAGCACGAGTAGAGGAGAGCCAGAGAGAGGGAGGGACAGAGGATCTGAAGTGGGCTCTGCGCTGATAGCAATGACCCGGATGTGGGGCTCGAACACCAACGGTGAGATGATGACCTGAGCTGAAGTTGGACGCTTACCCGACTGAGCCACCCAGGCATCCCAAACTAAACTTTTATAAAAACATAGGCGTTCTTCCATATGTTCTTTCTCTTTACCTTGTCATACTTCTAAGAAAATGTATGCAGAAAAGTTAAATCAACAGATACTCACGATAGAGTTTGAGAATTGTAGTACACATCAGTGTTAGTGGTGGCTGTGAAGAGTGCCAGGCTGCAGACGTCTGTGCTTTCATGAACTTAAGTACCAGGAAAAGTCAGTCAATAAAGATTAAGCTTGAAGTACAGAGTTTTATGTCTGCACTCACCTGTGTTTGGAAATGATTTTGAACAGATTGAGAGTAGTGAGTCAGTTTATTATAGGTGGAGAGATTGCATTCATTGACATTCTCATCCGTGCAAATCAACTTATCTTCCAGAAGGAATTTTTACGTTTTTAGTCCTTAAAAGTGTCATCTTAGACCTATGTTTCTGTACCTAACTGTTCACTAAACATTATTTTATCCAGAAAAATAAAACAACTTGATTTTTAAATTTTACAAACAATGCTATAATGAATATAATGGATAATTTTGCACTCTGGATATAAATGGCAAATAAAGTAGAATTGCTGAGTATTAGGGCATGTGTTTCTGAAATTTTATACAAAATGCCAAATTGTCTTACAGATAGTCGTTGACAGGTGGGTTTTTCCCTTGTTTTTAATTAAGGTTAATTCATATGCAGTACATTCCACCCTTTTTAATGAATAGTTCTGTGAGTTTTGGACAAAAGTATATATTCCTAGTGAGGTAGTTTGGCAAATCCATCTGTGCACAAGCCAAAAGCCAGGAAGGGCCCTGTGTCATGTGTGCATAGGCCCCCAGCCACGTTCTTCATCTCCTCAGCAGCCTTTGTCCCTTTTCCCTGAACTCCGTTCTCTCCCAGCTTTGAACTCTGCAGATCGGTCGTTCATGTTGTCTTGTATACTATTTTTTTATTATTTGACTTCAGAAATTTTAAAATCAACACTCAAGTTCTTGGTTGTGTGGTTCTCCCCTGGGCACAGAGCATAAGCCCTGGTATGTAGAAAGCCTGGAAATTATTGTGTATTGCTCATGGAGAGAGAAATGCTGAACCAAGTCATGAAGTTGAAATGTTTCAAGTAACAGTGGGCAGAAGAATCAGGTCATGGAATCTCACGAGTTTTTGTTTATCCAGAGAACTTTTTAAATACAGTGTTTACTGCTGAGAGGCATAATGACTGGTTAGTGTGATGTAATTAGGAAAGTGTATCTACCTAGATTAGAACGTTTTTTAAGAAAGAGCATGAGCTGGGGAGAGAGGCGAGGAGAGAGAGAAAGAGAATTTTAATCAGGCTCCACACTCAACATGGAGCCCCATGTGGGGCTCGATCCTATGATCCTGAAATCGACCTGAGCTGAAATCAAGAGTTAGCCGCTCAACCAACTAAGCCACCCAGGAGCCTCTGCCTACATTGGAATTAAAAAGAATGATTTTAGGAAACAAAATGATTCATAAAATGCAGTAATTTATTCTACGGTTCTCCTCAAACCAGACTTGAAGTTCTTATATGTAAGAGGAATGATTCTTAACAGCTTGTAGCATTTAGAGAGTTGTACCAGTTCTCTGACAAAGGCATACTTTGTATTTAGAAAATGTGACTAAATGCTCATTAATGTAATAGATCTTTTATTTAATAGATTAAAAAAAATTTAATGTCTATTTTTGAGAGAGAGCACAAGTGGGGGATGGGCAGAGAGAGAGAGAGGGAGGGAGACACAATCTGAAACAGGCTTCAGGCTCTGAGCTGTCAGCACAGAACCCTATACAAGCCTCGAACCCATGAACCATGAGATCATGACCTGAGCCAAAGTTGGATGCTTAACTGACTGAGCCGCTCAGGTGCCCCTTAATAGATTTTGTAAATGTTTATATATATTTATTGAGAGACAGAGAGAGAGAGAGAAAACACGTACACACGAGAGAGTGTGAGTGGGAAAGGGGAGGAGAAGAAGAGAGAGAGAATTCCAAGCAGATTACATACTCAGCATGGAGCCCGGCATCGATGAAGAGTCAAGTCGTAGGCTTAACTGAGCTACCCAGGCACCCCTCATCAACAAGTCTTAGTTGCCTTTAATATAGTGGTTCTCCTGGCAGTCTTTTGGGTGGGTGGTTTATAAACTTTATTTAGGTAATAGAATCCTCTCTCCAGATGAAACACTGTACAGTATGACCTTAAATAAGAAAAGCCTGGTTGTTATGGATGAGGTGGGAGAGAGGCCCCATTGTTTCTCTCGAGATACCACAGTGACTGTCAGGACTGAGAGAATTACACACTGAAGCCCACTGTTCAGTACTCCCCTCTTAGAGTCCTGTCTCCTCATTACACACAATCGCCAGATAAACCACACAGTTAGAAGTGCTGTTGACCAAGTCCCTTTGCAACATAGCATAACAGTGGAGGCTCCAGTGTATTCGCTTCTTCCCATTTTTTAGATTTTAAAATTACCTTTATTGCAAACAATAGGGATTGTGGTAGAAAGTGCAAGTAACTGAAAACGAAAAGTAGTAGGCCCTTAGATCATCCCTCCTTGCTCCACTGTTAAACACTGTTATT